CCATCATCATCACCATCATCATCACCATCATCATCACCATCAGCAGCAGCAGCAGCAGCTTTATGAGAAACAAACTTGAAAAAGGATCAAACTAAGCTAAAATTTCAGATTTTATCCAATCTTTCACACAAATTTAAAATTTATTCTGTAACATTTTATAGATTGTTTAGGATTTTATTTAACTGTTTTCAGTCAGAGTAGAAACACTTTGACTCACATGTTTCTGTTCACAGCAGTGTAATGAATGAGTGTCACTGATATTACTCCCTGAAAGCAGCAGCAGCACTGCACATTATACTAAACCTGTTCTATAATGTAACACAACACAAAATGACACTTTTTAAACTCCCAGAAGCAGTTTGTACCTGCAGCCCACTGCCTGTCACACATTTCTGTAAGCTGCCAGAGCAATAAAATAAAAAAAGGAAAAAGACGGAGGAAGGCAGAAATCTGCAGAGAATATTTACAGAACAATCATAAATCCTGCTGCATCAGATTATTGGCTCAGTATTACTGATTCTTTTCTGAACATAGACAAAGATACACAAAATAAAAATTAGACTTTAGAACCTGAACATCCTGTTGTGATTTTGTTGAATATTTGAGAGATTGGTGCAGGAAGTAAAAACGTGTGGAGAGCAGAAAAAACGTGGTTTTAATCAAAACCATTGCATTAAGTATATGTAAAAGAAATCTTTAAAAGTCCTGAGCAAAGATTAAAATATCATATTATCACTTTATAATTTAATTATAAAAGAAGCAGAAACATAAAAATGTTCTGCAAAGAACAACTACTTTGATAAAAGCTGCAGATTGTGCATAAAACTATAGAATAAAGTGTTTAAAACAAGCRCAGAGACTGAATGCTGACAGCCAGAAAAATCTAATTTTAAGATGAAACCCAGATGATATCTTCATTCCTGCTCACAGACGTGTAAATTCACACAGTATTTACTCCTGGGGAACCTACTTCTCTCTCACAGTTTGCTCAGAGGAGCATGAGGAATAGAAAAACTACCACACAAGGAAAGAAAATACAAATGCACTTGTTTAAAGTGCCTCATTATTCATGTCACACAACAAAAACACACAAAAAGGYGTTCCGCTGACTTCATATTACCTGGAGGCATCCTTGACAAACTGCTGTTCCTGTGAACACATCAGAGGAGGGAAAAACACTGGAAGTAAACACACTTGGCTCCAAAAAAAACAAAAAAAAAAAAACAGTGCAAACACCAGCAGAGTGCGAACAAGTGATCTAAAGCTCCATCCGCTCAGTGTCTGCAGGATGTCAGCCCCACAGAGCTCTGCACCGCCTGCGAGTGGCACCGAGGCCCAACAACACACACGTTGTTTCCTCTGAGGCTCGGCTTCTCTCCTCCGTCCTGTTCGGAGCTGTTTTTACAGGGGAGGGCTGTGAAAGGAGACATCTGCAGCTCCCACCGACAATTGGCACATCCAACTCATTGGACCTATTCAGCCTCCAACACAACACACATCTCTTCAACACACTCCTGCTCAAGCTCCTTCACATTCTCATGTTTCAGACTGCTCAGCCTTATTTACTTAATTAAATTAGTGTAAAAAAGAGCAATGACCTCACCAACATTTAAGATCAAACATTTTCAGCAGCATATCAATGCCAAAATGAGCTCAGAGGAGAAAATAGCTGTTTAGTCACACCATTTCTTGAGTAAACTCCTCAAGTGTTTGTTCAGATATCCCAGACATAGTGCTAAAGATAGAGGGATGGCAGATTTTACCAGCCAGATTATGGTCCAAATCAGATTTTGAGTTGCTGT